TCAGGGTTAAAGGTGATGGGAGTTTGCACCCAGACCACTTCAATGAGCTGAAGTGGTCTGGGTGCCTATGGTGTCCCTTCTAAAGCCTGTTCTCCCTCTCCTCACCAGTCCTTAGTGTGCCACTCATAGTTTAAAGACACACAAATGTGTATATTTCAACATCTGCAGGGTTACTTACTAAAGTGATAATTTTCAGGAATTCAAAGTGAATTCCAAATCAAAGACCAAAACAGAATTGACTTGGAGAATTCTTCTGTTTTGGCCTAACTTGTAAAATTTACGTTATGTTATCTGGCAGTTTTCACTCTAGTAATTAACCCTTGATGGTATTCTGTTCTTCGTTAGAAGGATTAACTTCTAGATGCCCCATATTACAAAACCAGCCTTCTATAAATTGCTCTTTTAAGCCATGTTTGTTAATGCAGTTAGTGATCTTCACCATAACCTCCTGGCTGCGTCCTGTATGTGTTTATTAGGTCAAGCACTTCACTTTATCTTTATTGGTTGTCTGAAGCCAGTGAGTAGAGGCTGTGCAAACACTTCGTTGGCAAACTATATCTCAGTCTGAGGATCCAGAACCTCAACACCGTGTTATCTCAAAGGAACCAGAGCAGCTACATACGTGATTTTCATTTGTCCAAGAACACAATTGGAATGGCTATTTTTAATTTCTATAAACAAAGCCTCTTTATTTAAAAAAAAAAAAAAAAGTTTCAAACATTATGTCCACAAAATATTTCTATGCTTGGTTTACTCTGTCATTTATTCTCTAACTTGAGAAAATCTTTCAGCCACTTAACCTGACTGATAATTTTTTTAAAATATATATATATATATATATATATATATATATATATATATATATATATATGCCAAATTCAGAGCTTCATTGCCTTGAGAGAGAAGTGGCCATCTTGTAATTCCATAATAAGTTTCTAATATATATATTAATATTAATTCTCCCTAAGTGAGAGTTACTGGTAAAAAAAGAAAAAGCGAGAGAAAATGCAGTGTGCATATTTATTAAAGGAAACATGTCATGTCATCTGCTGTGGTGTTCCCTTCCGGACCTCTGACATGTAAGTGACATATCCACAGAGCGATTTTTGGTCAGGTAAGTGGATGCACCGAGCAGATGATGACTTAAATAGCAGCCTTTAGGGGGGAATAGCTGATCAAGTTGACACTTTAAATTTACATTTCATTTGTTTTGCATATAGGTGGTTTGAGAGATTAAGGACTGTTAAAGAACTGATGCCTTCAGGTTTTGGTTTTGAAATACATGTTTTAAGTCTGATCCAAAGTCAAGTCTAATGCAACTGGCAACTTTTTTTTTTATTTTTTGCAATCAAGATAGGCACTGCTTCCAAATCTAATATCTGTGAGAAGCATTTGTTTATTTTACTCTTGCAAGCATAATCTGTATTTTAGCAGCCTGGTAAAACACATGACAGGTTATTTATGAAACACACACAAAGCAGAGTATGAAATATTACACAACAACTTTTCCAGAACACAGCAGGCCAGCTTTTTAAAGGGGGGGGAAACTGCACTGTCTATTGTAAACCATTAATTGGTTAAAAAGCAGACTGCATTTGCAATGTTTTGTGGACCCAGGACATACTTGAAAACAAGAGAAATCTCAATGTATCTATCCTGGTAAAATATTTTATAAATAAATTTGAACGTAAGATATAACCAATCATTTTCCTAATGACACACTCTTAGCCACAAATTGAACTGTTGGAATGTCCTGAGAACTAGAATAGACGTTAAGTCTGGGGCAAAATTGTCTCTTGCAAATGGCTAATAACAAGTGGAAATGTTAAGCCCTGATTTGGCTGTATCCATGTGTAGATATTGTGGGTGTTTATATAATGTTTATTTTGCATGTTCATCACTGCAATCCACCCAACTGTCTCGATTTCCTCATCCAGTCTCGCATCTGGGGACACCAGGGAAGGGACCTTGTGCAGCAGGCACTAGGACCATGCAGGGAACACCTGCGCTGTACTCTGAATGGTTCTAAAGGCAGGGGGCTGCCAGATAGCTTGTCACTGCTGAAACCCTCTCAGGGCACCGCGCACCCCATCCCGATTCCCATTGTTGGGGTATATGTCACTATATCAAAGTGTGTGTGTGTATATATGCAGGTATATAATTTTTTTTATTAAATATACTGTAATCTATTTTTTAATTAAAGGTCCTAGTGCTAACTTAAATGGATACTCTAAGCACCAAAACAGCTTTGACTTAAAGCAGTTTTGGATGGGCATGACCTGGACCTTGAGCGTGATGGCATCTTGAACACAGAGCTCTGCTCTACCTACCCCCTAATATAACTTAATTCTCACAAACAGAACAAGCATGGGCCATAATAAAAGATCTGATATAGCCCAAATTCGCTGAGAATTGCAAATGGGATCCGACCTGGGCCCTTGGACAGCTCTGTGAACACATTGTCAGGACCATGAGCCAGGCACCAAGGTGGCACCATCCTCCACTGCCTTGCCAGATCTGGCACAGATCATCACTGATTTCAGGGCACTCACAACTTCTGTGGTTTCCAAGACAGCCCTGGCAGCAGATCTGCATGAGACCATCCGACCCAAAATGGCTAAGCTGCGGATGGAAGTGTGCCTTGTAGAGCAGAGCTCAGGCTTTGGAGGCCTCATCCCTAAACCTAAACCACCAGCAATTCTGCAAGGAGCAATGCGTCTAGCTCTATGGAGATAGGTGGAGGATGTGAACAACGAGGGCAGGAGATGCAATATACGAGTGAGTGAGGGGAAAAAGGTGGACGAGATCCTATCTGATTTGTTTTGTATGATCTTGAGAGAAGATTCTCCAGATATACTTCTAAATGAGTGATCCCACCAACACCTGTTTGGACCTCATCGTCTGTTGCCTCCATTCCTTTCCATTGAAAGAGACCATAATGTTTAAAGGCTAACCTGGAATTTGTTTTGGTGTTTAAAGTTTCCCTTTAAGCAAAAACAGTAAAAAGGAACAGCACTCTAAGGACATGATAAATGCTTTTGGGGGTCAAAGTTGGAAAAGGTGTATTTTTGTTTTAAATTTTTTCATCATATTTTATAATTTTTGTATAAAAAATTGTATTATATGATGAAAATAATGGTATCTTTAGAAAGAACATTTAATAGCGAGAAAAATGGTATATAATATGTGGGTACAGTAAATGAGTAAGAGGAAAATTACACCCAGAAATGTAAAAACAGCCCTGGTCCTTAACGGTAAGAAAATTGAAAAGTGGTCTGGTTACGAAGGGGTTAAAGAACAAAGTTTAATATGTGACTGTTGTGTTTGTCCTCGTATCTTTCTTATAGGTTGTGTTAGGACATAGCTTGCAAATCATTCTAGTCTGGGTGAATTTTAAATGCATGTGTTTATTGTACATGGCTTAGAAAGCACAGTAATTCTTGTTTGAATGACTTGACTGTTTGGGGAATTTTGTTAACATGTATCCCATTAATTTGAACTACTTGTGTGATTATTGCGTGTGATATTATAGACAAACTAATTCATATGATATTGTCATGTGAAAGACTTCATTTTAATAGCGTTAACAGACAAGTCCCTTTTTGTCTATGAACTTTTATTTTTTATTTGGCTTATGATTTCCTTCATCGCACAAGTGATTTTAAAACTAAAACCAAAATGTGAAATGATTGGAAATCACTGTTAATTAAAGAGGCAGTCATAAGAGATATGTCAGTTATATTTTGTCAAAGCTGCTGTATAAATAATTTACTACTACTACAAATATTGACAAAATATGTTTTGTTATCGGATGTTGTGTTTTTTTTTTTTTTTATAACACTAAAGGAAGTAGAATAAACCTAGATGGCATTTTTGTGCAAATACATTTTCTTTCGTGGCTACCAGTAATCCCAATGGAGATGAAGTTATTAGACCTGCAACAATATGTTTTAGTGCATACATTAAGGAATAGAATTTAGAGCATTCTGTTTGACTTTTAGAAAATAAGCACATTGTAAGTTGATATGAAAAAGGCCTGTGTCATCTCCTCTTGTAAATCAAACTTATTGCATTTGCTTGTATGCCTCCACACATTGTCCAGCCCCTGCAAAATATATTGGCACATAAGCAGAAACTCTAAGTGCTATAAGAGACACATTCGTGTCAAACTGTTTTTCAAGGCTTTGACATTTTGTTGTCTGGCCTCACCAGGGTGCTCTTGGCACCATAACCACTATAGTGCTCTATAGTCATTATTGTGCTAAGAGTATACCTTTATTAATAATAATAATAATAATATATCTTCATATTTGTTTCCTGGTTTCCTTCAACGTGTAGCTTTCCATTCTTAGGATTAAATGGAAACTATAATCACCAAAACAACTTTAGCTTAATGAAGCATTTTTGGTGTGTAGATCATGCCCTTGCAGTCTCACTGCTCAATTCTTTGCCATTTAAGAGTTAAATCATTTTGTTTATACATCTCTAGTCACACCTCCCTGCATGTGATTTGCACAGCTTTCCTAAACACTTCCTGTAAAGTGAGATCTAATGTTTACACTTCCTTCATTGCGCACTCTGTTTAATTTATCATTTCTTATCTCCTGCTCTGTTAATAGCATGCAAGACCTTGCAGGAGCCTCATGTATGTAAATTCTATTTACAGAGCAGGAGTTAAAAACTTTTTAAGTGAGTTAACATCTGAATGAAAATGAAACCAATTTTTTTTCCATGCATGATGTGTATTGTTGACAGAGCATCAAGGGATGTATATCCACATTGGTCCTCCTGTCTTCACTTTCTCTGTCCATCCCAAGCTTATCTCAGCTTGCAAAATATCCTAAGCAGGATAGGTAGTGTCCCGCGACCCCAAACAACTCTTAAATGTTTTGACTGCTTACATTGGGAGTGCCAGGCACAATAACCTATATAGTGTGCTGTAGTGCAGTATTTCCCAACCCAGTCCTCAAGGCACACCTACCAGTCCAGGATTTAGGGATTACCCAGTTGTGTCTAAGGTGTTTTTTTCCTTCTTTGTAAAAACACCTTAGACACAACTGGGTAATCCCTAAATCCTGGACTGGTAGGTGTGCCTTGAGGACTGGGTTGGGAAACACTGCTGTAGTGGTTATGGTGTTTGGAGTGTTCCTTGCTCTTATACCCCTGGTGTAGAATGATAAAGCACAATGGAGAATGGTGGCCCTGTTTAAATGCTAACTGCTGAAGAGCTACCGTCTAGCAAGGTACTTATTGGCAGCCCCATAGGATTTCTGTTTAGCACAACTTAATGCAAGGATGCCCATGTCTCCCAGTCCTAGAATGCATTACAGTTGTGTTTGTACTTTGATTTTAAACATAAACATCACATTCCATTAACATTGTTTTAAACAAATTATACTCCACTCCTCTGTATTCTGTAACTTTTTGGTAGCATTTATTTGCAAGATGTTGATAGTTTGCATCCTTTTAAAACTAGACGTCAATGCAGCTATTAAGTTAAAAATGCCAGAACACATTACCTTAGCCTAGCAGTGCACATAAAATGTAATGGTATACCTGTAATTACATTTTAAAGTTTTTTTTTTTCTGCAAAAAGAAGAAAGCGGTTTCCTTAACTAATAGTAAATGACTTAACTAGCCTTATCATAATGTGCAGTTTTCAAATGGAATCCTAGTTAAGGTTAATATTCATTGCTGCTTGATGTAGACCATGGAAATGTAATTGTACATGCCCCAGGGACAGCAAGCAAATGATTTCCTTTTAGAGAAAATGATCTCCCTCTTGCCCATCTGTTTCAAGTTTCTATAGTAAAACGCATGCTTTGGCTCTTCAAATGGCAATCTACGACTGCTTCCAGGCCTGCTAAGGTATGGAGCTTGAAGATGACATCACTTGTAATGCTGTGAATGTGTAGTGCTAAACTCTTATTGTTTGGGGATTTTTGGTTTGTCAGTGGTTAGGACTCTTCTTATGGGTCATCCATAAGGCAGGAATTTATCTGTTGCCAGGTCCAGCTGCGGACGAACAGGAAAAAAAACTTAACTTTGAACTCTGATTATCATCACTATCCCCTCACACAGCATCCGCACCACTAGCTTTAACCTTTCCAGTTACCAGTGACTACGTTTCCCCTCTTAAATCACAGACTCTGTTTTACTTACTAATCAATACTATTTTAAGCCAATATATGAAGCAAATAACAAGCTCCTTCCTGTGTGCTGCTGGACATTACATAGGTTTCCAGATATTTCTACCTGAAGTCTGATCGAACAGGCTTTTGTAATTCCACTTAGTACACAGCCATCACAAACATTTACCCTGATTTCTCATCTTTACCTAACTGTAATAACTGGATAGCTCGATTGTTGAATCCAACAGTCCAAATTGCAAATTAAGGAGAAGATACTTCAAACTCCGTACTTGTATTATTGTGTCGGACACAATTATGACACGGTGAAGAAAAAATAGGAGTTTGGGTGGAACGCTACAATACAGAAATTATTTTATTGAAAAAAGGGTGCTGCCTCAGGGGGTGTGTGTTTCTAATATATCTAATGCCACTGCTTTTAATCTCGGTATGTTGCAGGCATTTCTCATTTGAGAATCTAAATATCATACTTGGGGCAAGTTTCCATACGCCCTTGAGCCAGCAGATGGAGGTCCATTCCTATTCACTCTGCAAGTCATATTGGTCGCCAGGCTAGACATTGACACAGGTAGCTAGTATAGAGCAAAAAACTGCTCGCAAGAGTATTCTGAGAACGGACAGCAGCTAAAATAGCCTGCCCTTCGGTGGGTCCCCGCTCAGAACTCAAGCTGGTTTTAGCTCATCTTGTGCCATTACAGAGAGAACATATCTGAAGCATATCAGACTGGTCCCACCCATACGGGCAGTCCAGATCCAAAATGCCAGCAAGTTCTCTCTGCATGAGAGATACAGCAACCCCAGACCATCGTTTCAGCCTTGTTAGGCATCATCAGTGAGGCATAGCTGATATCTCTCTAGGCAGGTAGCTAGTATGGACACAGGTATTTCCTGTCTGTATGCAAACACCTATGCACCCAGCATAGCACACAAGACCAGAGCATTACGTGGGACAGTGCATACGTAAGCACACAGACACTTATATCTTTGTAATTACTTCTTATAGCAAACAGGAGATGTCTGTAGGCATTTACAGTATTTTAAACGGCTATGTTAAATTGTGAATGTCCCTGAGTGTGCCACGATAACTCCATTACAAGCATATCTTTGTTACCTCACTGGCAGTGTGTACCGGTTGTGTCTTATAACCCAGAACAGACGTATCTAATAAGAAAAGTTTGATCAGTTTGTGTGAGTTTTACTATTTTAAAATTTCCTTAGTTTACTAAATGTTAAAAATCTCATGAACCATGTTAATATTGGATGAGATTAGATTGCTGTGTTTCAAAACAATAGTCTAGTATCTACAATCTAGTAAAGGGGGTAGTTTAAGCTCAGTTTAGTGGTTTTGCTGCCAGGAATCTGTGGTAGCTTTGACAGCTGTGATAAATTGAGAGTGCTGGGCTAACCTGCTGTCAGCTCTCCAGTTTGGCAAGGATATTGATAACCTGGATAATTTGCATAACCAACCATGCTGGCAAAGGGGCAGTCTCTGGGTTCCTGGAAGAGCCCTGTTTTTACCAAACTACTCAAAAACATCTTGACAAGAAAATGGCCTACAGGTAGACTCTTGGGAGCAGAACCACTATATTCAGCTTAATTGGCTGTTGCCTGTAGTGCCACTTTAAAGGGTTTCCTGTAAGCACCAAAACAACGTTAGCTTAATGAACAGTTTTAGTGCATTGATTATTCCTCTGCAGTCTCACTGCTTAATTCTCTGCCATTTAGGAGTTAAATCACATTTGTTTCTGTTCATGCAGCCCTAGCCACACCTCACCTGGCTGTGACTTACACAGGCACTATGAAAAAAATTGTTTTATTTTCAGTCATCACAGTGTTTTTACTCTAGACGTTTGAATTACCTGCTCTATTAATTGAACTTCTTTTCACACACAGGAGATTCCTGAAGTCTCTAAATTTAACAGACTGCAATAAAGGAAGTTTAAGAATTAGATCTCTCTTTACAGAAAATGTGTAGGCAGAATGTGTGAGTCACATGCAGGAGAGGTGTGGCTAGTGCTGCAAAAATAAAGTGGTTTAACTATTAGATGGTAGGTAATTGAGCAGTAAGACTGAAGGGGCATGGTCCATACTGAAACTGCTTCACTAAGCTAAAGTTGTTTTGGTGCTTTTAGTATCCTTTTTAGCATGTGTGTTTAAAGTATTTTAGCAGTTTTGGTGGTTTTCAAGTCTATTTTTCTAGCACTAGAAAGACCTTTTGTTGCCACAAGTGCAATTTCTGCGCCTGGCAAAATTACATGTTTTAACACTTCTTTACACCATGGACCGCTAGTAGTTTATGGCCTTAAATGTATCTTTGGTGATGGTTTGAGAATTACAAAAGTATATTATTTTGTTATTCCCAGTTCAGTACAGTGTGTCATTCCTTGGTTTTATAGCTTGAAATGTGTTTTTTTAAATATTCCTGTCCAACAAGCCTAGTAACCATCCCTTCTTTTTGTAGTGGGATTGTTACCGATCGTTTTCTATATCAAATTTTAGTTTTATTTATGGTGTAATATGTTCCCTATAGACACATAAAAGGAACATACCACCACTTCCTAAATAGTCTATATAGTCTATAGTCTAAAATGCGTATTTGAGTTGCAATAATGTATAAGTCATGAATATACGTTATTGTAAAAGGGAAACAGACCTTTGCTGGCAAGTGAAACTATTCTGTTAGTAGTTGTCCCATCTCCGTTTCATATTTTCTGTATTTATATTTTTTTACGGGAAATAACAATACAGCATAATTGTAAAACTTTTTGCTACAGTGCTTCTTTTTGAACTGATAACGTCAGTGAAGGGCAGCTGAATACAATTAGCTACTCAATAATCATGGCTTTGGATATTATTTTTTCCTTATCGCCCACTTCCTCTCTGTGCTGTGTACAGCTACAAAGTTGAATTTGTTATGATGACTGTATCTTGCAGTGAATTTAGCTCATATGATCACTGCATTCACCTTAAATGTTCAATTGTCATGATTGGCTCCGTAACTCGTAATTCAATTCCAGGATTCACCAAATAGACGAAATTAACTAGTCTTATGTAAACTAGTGGTTACACTCACAGTGTACAAATACATAAACTCAAAGGACAAATGGCATATGGATTTGACACCTGTCAGTCGCTGGGTGTAACCTCTTTTACTGCAACTACCATCCGTTCTCTGGGAATTTTTGAGTTTTCCCCATGCTTCCATTGCTAGCTTCATTTTGTCTCTATATTTTATATTAAATAACAGTTTGATAAGCAGATGCAGTTCCTTTACAAGTGTAGTAATTTGCCAATCAAATTGTATTAATATAACTTTAGTGCCTGCATTACTTATCAGTTTAATTTCCTTACATTGCCACTGGTGATGGAAACTATGGCCTTGATTTAAAATATTAGGATACGCTTTTCATATCTTTGGATAAAGTATAACTTTTTTCTTTCTTTCTTGTAAATATTAACGTGTGTGTGTATGTATGTGTGTATATGTATATATATAATATGTGTGTGTGTGTGTGTGTCAATATATCAATAGTCAATAACAAACAATGCACACCATATGATACAAAGTATCGATCTATATTTATTAATTACAATACATATACAAATCAATCACAAATAACATGACAGTGACTTACTAGGCAATCAATATCCAAAAATACATATTTACCACATTCCACAAGCCTACATGGGCAGAAACACGAGTCACAAATAGCCCCCCAACGTTTCGGCACCTCCTGGTAGCCTTTATCAAGATACCCTTGATACATAGATACCCTTGATAAAGGCTACCAGGAGGAGCTGAAACGTTAGGGTGCTATTTGTGACTCATGTTTCTGCCCATGTAGGCTTGTGGAATGTGGTAAATATGTATTTTTGGATATTGATTGCCTAGTAAGTCACTGTCATGTTATTTGTGAT